GCTATTTTTTGGTTGCAGCCGTCATTGTTTGTTTGGCGGGTCTGGGCTGGGGATTCAAACCCGCCACCTTAGGTGTACGTGGCTGGCGCCTTAGCGGGTTGAGCTATAGGTGCCAAGCCAACAAGTAATCTTGATGACTAAAATCAAGTGCCAAGGATGGTGAGAAAGATAAAAGAAGGCTGAATTCCTAATGGAGAAGCCACCATAACAGTCCTGGGCTATTTGTTTCTGGGCTTTCTTTTACTTTTATTTGTTCTAGCATTTGTTAATCCATACGTGAAAACTAAGCAAGGAGGGGCTGACTTCACTGTCTGCCTTTCCAGCCAGCTCTAAGCACTGATGCCCCCCGGTGGCAGCCCAAACATTTCCCTTATCCTAACTACTGAATGTGTAGGCATTCCCTGGTTACTGATTGTAGTCCCCTCACTGCCAAGAAGCGGAGGTCAACTCAAGGATCCCTCAATGAGATATCAATATACTCTTCTGGTTTTTGGCAGGAGTATTTGGCAGGGAAAGGCCAAAGAAGTGAGTTCCATCTTCATGTAGTAACCCAGATTGTCATTCTTTTTACTCTATTGGTGGCTAAGTCCAAGCCAATCCCTAGCTAAGGTCCACTGATATTCAGTCAACAAATAGCTGAACATTCCTGGGTTGGGGGAGGCATTCCACTTCCAGTGATACTATGGCAAAGAGCCAGCAATTATGTAGAGCTGGTTATGTGAGAATGCTGCTAACTGACAACAGTTCATACCTCCTCAGACTGATATGATAATCACTTCTGCTTACATATCTATTTTTTGCAGTTTTTCGCTGGTCTGGGTTTGAACCTGCCACCTCCAGTATATGGGGCCAGTGCCCTACTCCTTTGAGCCACAGGCGCCGCCCTGCTTACATATTGTAAGATAACAACTCTTTCCTGGGCCAAAAAGGCCAAGCAAAGAAGATAGTCTGTGAGTGAGATGGTATCATTGAACCACATGTTCTCAACACATAGATTGCTCATTCAAAATAAGGAGCAAGGACAGAGATGGTAAAGAGTGTTTGACATTCAACCAAGAAACAACACCCCAAGAAACAAACAATAAAAAAAGTACATACTGAGGTATGTATCTAAAGGTATACAATTCTCCAGGTCATCTGTGGGTGACAGAAGCTCACAAATACTTTCAGCTGTGTGGTCTTCAGGGAATTTGCTGTGGTCTCCACATTTTTTGAGGATCTCCACACAATCTGATCTTGAAAAGAAAAATGCACATACACTTAGAGTTCAAGAAACCTTCTCATGTCTAGTTAATATCACTTGTGTTTCTAAAGGTTTCCAGAAAATGTTTCATAATGTGTAACACATTAACGTTCATGTGACTTATAAATTATTTTTCAAGTTTTCACATTACTTTTTACATTACTAATCTTCAAATATTTTTTTAATACTGATTGCATTTGTTAGGTAAAGTCCCTCTTAAATTTTTAAGTTTTAAAATTTTTTATTGATTCATGTTTTAGGATTACTTCCAAAATTTTTATTTTTTTGTAAGAAAACACCGTGGCCCCAAGGAAAAGATACTTTCATAGTGTGGCAGTCAATGTGTTAACCTAGTCAGTTAGGAAACATTGTTAAGCATGGCAAAAGAAAACAGTCATAGTGGACCTCAGGTTCAATGAAAAATTCAAGGCATCCCTAACTTTCTCTTATTTGAGATCAAAGGCCTTGCCCAAATTTTATACTGTTATTACAATCAATGTGGCTTTTTACTATCATTGAAAGGAAATTAATCTGATTTGTTCTTTGCAGTCATATCTCCTCTTTTCCTTGGGGCCTTATGCTTCCTTGCTTGCCTCCTTCCCCTTTTTCCTTTCTGGTTTAAATATCTTTTTAGGGCTCGGCGCCTGTGGCTCAAGCGGCTAAGGTGCCAGCCACATACACCTAAGGTGGCAGGTTTGAATCCCCAGCCC